AATGCAGTTGAGCTGCAATTTGGACCCTCAATTACAGTATGCTGAAATATATGATTTAACTGATATTTAAAATATATGTGTCAGCAGTAGAGTATAACTTGCCTGTCTCCTCAAAATAGTCCACATATCATGATGTAGGGCCCTGTACAGAAGAAATGTTTTTATAAGGAAAATATTCACTGTGTTCTTCACCTACAAACATTCACTGTACATGAATGAGCACATAATAGGAACAGGGCTTTTAGAAATACAGAACCAAGTTGCTTCTATTTTTTTAGTAATATGGTAGAACAGATATTCAATTAAATCTTTCCTCCCCCAGTATATCTAAAACTCAAGGGAAAATATTGAAGAACTTCTTAGTGCATGGTTGAGCTAATGGGGTGCTAGGGTATTTCTCTGAGAAACCTCAAATCTATAAACTAGATGAGCAACACCAGGCATTTCCCAGGGTGACTAACCAATCCCAGTCAGCCTGGAGCTGAATTTTAAAAGTCCAGAGATAGCAGGAGACAAGGCTTTGGTCCAAAGGGCTGAGAGAAGCTTCCTGCATAAAGTGGAATCCCTGAAGTACTGTCTTCAGTGCAATAAACATAGAAAAAGAAATCCTACATGGGAAGTGAAACGATGTGTTTGACTTTCTCTCCCTGGTTAATAGATGGGACAAAGGGATAAATAGATAATTACTTTTGAGAATAACTCACAGTTCTTGTGGAATTTGCTTCTGTAATCCACATTACTCGTATGGCCCACAAATTTAATTTGGTGGAACAGGTCCTGGTTGGTGTGACCCAGGGCATGTGTTAGAAGTGAATTTAAATCAGTTTTAAATGAGTTTTCCATACCATCCTCAAAGAATTTAAAGATAAAAGCCTAAACAGCACGATCTTCTAAATGGACAATTCACCAACTGCATGGAGTAAGCATTGCCGTAAAGACAAGCCAGTGAAAACCACAAATAGCAGAAACAGATTCACCTACTTAGAATTATTATTTATATATAATTTATTTGTATCAAGAAACGAATATTGAAAAGCATTTTTAAGAAAAATTGACTATTCAAATTAACCAGGGGGATTTGAAAAAAGAACTTCAAAGATAAAGCATTCAGTACCTGAAAAGAATAATTCAGTGAATGTATTAAATATCAGGTTAGTCATGGCTAAAGACAGGATAAGTGAAATATAGGATTGAGCAAGTTACGGAGAACACAGTCAGGAGAGTAATGTATGTGCGAAGCCTGAAGGTGAGATAAAGATTAAAAAAGTGTGAAAAGGTCTAATGTATGCTTAATTGGTATTCTGATAAGAACCATAGAATGATATAAAGGCATACATCAAGGTACTAGCTGAGACTTCTGAAAATTTAAATGTTAAACTACAGGTTTAGGAATTCTAAGAAAGAGGTTTTTAAAATCCACGCATATAATATCTTAATGAACCTGCAGAATAGAAAAGGCAAAGATCTGAAAAGCATCCAGAGAATTAGATTGCCAGATGGCTGACTTCTCACCAGAAACAAGGGAAGTTAAAAAACGGTGGAATGGCATCTTTGAAGTGCTATTAGTCTAGAATTCTATACCGATTGAAAAAATGCTTCTCTACCTTTTGGCTAAGATTGAGTGTAGTATCTGTTCTTACTATTTTAACTATATCCATTGAAATTAGTTTTTAAGAACAGCAGTAAAGTAAAGTCATTTTCTGAGGCTATCAAAAGTCTCTCTGATGGGTACATTTATAGAATGGTCTTCAGAAAGAAATCAGTGATCCCAAAAGGAAATAAGTGCTACCAAAAAAGAAAAAAAAAAACAAAGCAAGAAATGTAAATCTAAACAAACAGTGATTGTTTAAAGTAGAACATTAGTGGGTGATTTCTAGTGTTAAAAAAAATCCAATGTGTAACTATAATTATGGGAGGATCATGTCAAGAGCTGGATAATCAGATTTAAAACATTCTGACATCTGTACTGTTTGGGAAAAGTTGAAAAAAGTATCAGTAGCTTTGTGATCTTAGGTATCCATAAATGCTTAGGATAAGCACTAAATAATAGAATGTATAACATCCAAACTATTACAGGGGAAAAATAAAGAAATGATTATGTGTATATGAATACTTAGATAATATAAATGGACTAACTCTTGAGTCAAAAACAAAGATTGCCAGGGTTTAAAAAAATTATATTCTATTTATGAGGTATAACTAATATAAACAGAATATTTGAAAGTAAAAGGATCAAGTGGTTTATAACTTAAATACTAACCAGATATCTTTAATTTTATTTAAGAAACATAAAAGTGTTATTACATATTCATAAACAGTTTGTTTCACTAGAAAGAATTGATAGTTCCATTCTCAAGGCAATAAAAATCGATAGAACCACAAAGAATATTAACAAATCCACAAAATAATGAACAAGCTTGACATGATGGACTTATCTAGAATAATTGGAAAATATACGTCTTTTCAACCACATAGAACATTTATAAAAATTGATCACATACTTCATTTTGTGCGCTCACAAAATTCAAATGATTGCTTCATAAAGATTATATTATTTTATCATAAGTTAATTAAGTTATTGATTATAAAAAATATAACAGCTGCAAACATTCAAAAAATTTAAGTCATACTTCTTAATAACCAACCCATGGGCCTAAGAATAAACCAGGGCAGAATTAAAAACAGATGTCCTTATGCTCCTATAGAACTTGCATTAATTAATAATAGATGCAATGTAGTGTAAAAACAGTAAACTCATAAAGGGAATTTGACATTTGAATAAAAATAACCTACACCAGGAAGTAATATGCAACAAGAGGCTAATAAAAAATCATAGTAAGTAATTGCTATGCTCAGGGGAAAATTAGTAGTTTAGCTTGGGGCTTCCAGAAGAAGTATTTTTTAAAAAAGATATCATTTTTTCTAATGATGAAAGTGGTATAACCAAGTATCAGGGGGCAAGATAATTATGAGTATATCAAGATTAAATATTGTGTGTGACAACTTAAAAATGCCATAAACAAGATTTTCATGTTCCAAATAAAACATTTGGAAACATATTTATAACAGATATGATGGAAAGGCAATGAGTGATTTGGGCAAAAAAGCATGAAGAGGTTATTCACAAGGCAAGACATAGAAATAGCTAATAAATATTTGAAAAGATGCATAGCAACAAATGTAATCATAAGGGATAAAGAGGGAAGTGACGATGAGATAATATTTTTCAACTCAGTTTGGCAAGGATGAAAAAGATTGAAAAACTCATATATAGGGGTTTATGTACACAGAGGTTTGTCTAGATATTTTCTCCATTCTTCCTATTGTCATCCAACTTGGCTTATGGCCTATCTTTTCTTTTTGTCATGCATAACAATTTGGTATTTTGTAGTAATATTTATCAGTCTTGCCATTTTTATGGGGTTCAGTTATACTTCTTTCATCTTCTGTTGACATTTTGACAGTATATTCTGTACTCTTTGATCCAGTAAGTCCACTTCTAGTAATTTATCCCAAGATATTTAAAATGTATATACAAGCTATTATTTTTATATTTCATTAATACTAGCGAAAAATGGGTAAATTTCTAGGAATAAAATTATGATTTCTGTGTACACACACATATATAGGTATGTGTATATAGGTTTATGCCATTTTATAGAAATTTAAAAGATTGTAAAGAATAATTGTAACCATTTAAGTGATATATAGATTAATATTTGTGTGAAAAGAGATAGATATATGACATTACTAAGTGGTAAAAGCAGTATATCTCTTGTATAAACTGATGTGTACCTATCAGTTGTAAGCAGCAACTTGTTTATAGTTGCACTTAGTAGTTATATCCCGTGATGACTGCGTAGAATATACTGTAAAATAAATGGTACTAAAACAGAATTTGGGGTCCTCAGTTTTAGTCACTGTTGAGCTATTTTTGGCAGATCTCTTTATATCTCAGGGCCTCCTTAGCTCATTTCTCAAAATGTGGGAGAGAAGGTGAGCTTTGGATTTCATCATCATAGAACTACACCACAATGGCTGTCTCCCCCTTCCTGCACCCAGGGCAGGCTCTAGTCATCAGTCCTCAACTTCTTTCTCCAGGCTCAACCATACCTTAGAATTATTCTCAGTATACTCTGTATTAGGTCGCCATTTTTAAAAAGCTTGTCGTTTGCACTTGACACTTCTTTGCAATCCTTGGATAAGATCTGAGAAGTCCTTTCAGCTAAATGGTCTTTCTGATCAAAGAACTGTTATCGTGGTAAGAATTAACAAAATATCTTTCCAAAAAACTTTGTACTTTACTGTCAGTCACATCTTGATAAAGCAGGAAAAAGGTGGAAACAAACAGGTGAAATAGGTTTTGATAATATATTGTATTGAGTATGATATTTTGACATGTAATTGACATAAAATAAGTGCTAATACATTATTTTATGGTGTCTTTTGACTCAAGGTTTTTGAAATTCTGTTTGTATTTACAGCAGTCCCATTTTAGATGATAAATTTTTATTGGAGATCCTTGATGTGTATTTAAATTTCCAGTTTACAAAGTACTTCTTATATTCACATTCTTGAGTTTTCTAATAATTGAGTACCAGTTTTTAATTTTAACTAAAATTAAAATTAATATGCAGTCACACTCGCCACATTTCAGGTATCCATTAGCCTTACGCAGCTAGTGGTTAACATGTTGGATGTTGAAAGTTCAGAAAATACGAAGAAACATACAATTTGATTTTAGCCTTCAAGGGGATTTTCTAGTTGAGAAAGCAAGATATCAAAAAATAAGCATATAAAAAGATAACCCAAAATAGAATAGAATTAAGTGCTAAAAGTTTGCTATGGACAGACTAAGTGCTACATGGGTAGGAAGTTCCAGAAACACCCACAGCTTGCTACATCCTTCACCACTTTGAGGTCTGAATGGCAGCAAGGACTTGCTGAGGTTGGGAGAATGAGGTGTCTTCCTTTAGAAAGTGTGTGTGTTCTCCCTGCAGGCACGGGACCCGCTGCGCTGGAGAGGTGGCCGCCGCAGCAAACAACTCTCACTGTACAGTGGGCATTGCTTTCAACGCCAAGATCGGAGGTATGGGACCCAGACTCCCGTGGACTAGTATTCACCTAGGCATCTCCTGAAGACTTTCTTAAGATGAAGTTCCTGGAATTAGGCTGACATCCTCATTTCCAGCATGATATTTGTCTCCAAATGGTGAAAGTGAAAGTGTTAGTTGCTCAGTTATGTCCAACTCTTTGTGACCCTATGCACTATAACTCACCAGAGTCCTCTCTTCATGGAGTTCTTGAGCAAACATACCGGAATGGGTTGCCGTTCCCTTCTTCAGGGGATCTTCCCGACCCAGGGATCGAACCCGCACTACAGGCAGATTTTTTACCACCTGAACCACCAGATCTAAAAAATAAATAGACCTTTCTAAAGTAAATGTAGACCTCTTATAGCATGAAATAATTGAGGTATATGATAATGATGCTAAGAAAATGTTTTCTGAGACTATCTTGTCTGTCAGTTGTCAGTAGATTCCGCCTCTTTCTTCTCTTTATTTCACCTGGGTTTCTTAGAGTATGGCAGCTTGTTAACCAGTGATTAGCTATACTCAGAGCATCTGCTGTGTGTCAGGTGAAACGTTCCTAGAGGAGCTATGGAAAGGAGAAAGATGTCCTCTGCAGAGTCGTGAGGCTGCCAGAGGCCGCTGCTCTCTGCAAGTTAATCAGAGAACTACAGTGGCTGTCCAGGCAACGCTCCCTGCAGGCCAGCGCACACGCATTCATACATACAGAGACGTTCTCAGTATTAGTCGCTCAGTCGTGTCCAAGTTTTTGCAGCCCCATGGACTGTAGCCCACCTGGCTCCTCTGTCCATGGGATTCTCTAGGCAAAAATCCTGGAGTGGGTTGCCATTTCCTCCTCCAGGGAGACAGTGTCAGGTCCCTGCCATTACTCTTCCGTGCTAACCCAGCACTTCTGACCTTGAGGAAATGAAGGCATGAACTTCTGAACCTCACAGATAAGCTGCTCACCTAGCTGATAAGACCTAGAAAAATGAATGTATGGCAATGCCTGACGAATGTTCAGTCATCCTGAAAACGAGAACCTTCTAAATTATAAATTTAACCCCTCCAGATCCAAGGCATGAAGTCTTGCACTTAGTTAAATGAAGAATAAGTAACCATTCATCTTTAAACTTGCAAAAATAAGCTTCTTATGAATTTTTGGTCAGAAAATTAATATTACCCTGTAGATACAATCTTATCAAGCATGTTTTCATGGACTTCACATGAATTTCATGATGTGGAAACCAAATTCAGATGTGTAGACACTCCCATGTTTAGACATACTGGTTAGATTATTTCAGACCTCCCTGTAGTGGTGAAATAGTTCGGTTTTATGCTTTTAAATAGAAAGTAAGAATATGAAGTAGTTCATCTTACTTGGTGAAAACCATGCAGATGAGTTTTGAATATTCATATCAAATCAAGAGAGTCTGATACTGCTGAGGACCCAGTGTGTGCAGAGCATCCTGCTGGGTGATTTTCTCCCACAGAATAAACTGCTGACGGAGTTTTCAAAGTATCTTTTCCATTCCGGTAATTTTTAAAGGGGTCTGTTCAAAACCTTTGTTTTTCACATCACCTATTTTTTAAGTGCGTGTGCTCAGTTGGGTCCCACTCTTTGTGCCCAGATGGTCTGTAGTCACCAGACTCCTCTGTCCATGGGGTTTTCCAGGCAACAATACTGGAATGGGTTGCCATTTCCTCTCCCAAGGGAGCTTCCTGACCCAGGGATCGAACCCCTGTCTCTTGTATCTCCTGTAATGGCAGGTGAATTCTTTACCACAGAGCCCCTGGGAAACCCACCTGTTTATATATAATACATCTCCTTTAAAAATATGCCAGTCTAGAGGAAAAGATAGTCATGAGATACAGTAGCCAAAATCTTTAGGGATGCTTTGGGGAGATTTAAGGTTGAGTGGGTGTTTCTTTCTTTCCTTTTTTGGAAACAATATTAAAGGATAGTGTCATATCTGTCATGTAATTTTAAATGGTTTAGCTTAATATTTATATTTTTGGATAAAGAAAATGTGGCAAAATGTGAACAGTTGTTGAGCCAGGGCTATATCTGGGTTCATTGTCATTCTTTGTGGTTTTCTATGTTAGTAATTTTAAGTTAAACATTTTTAAAAGCACAAAAAATATATATTATTTATATATATTCCTATATATACATCCTTCAAGAATATTTTTTATATTCTACCAGAGTTCCTCAAGCCACATTGCCTCTAAAGCTGCCTGATTTAGAGTTTTATTATTTAATCCTCATTTATTAGTAACCAATAAAACTTGAAATCCTACTAGATAACAACATTTTCCTAAGGAGTAAATTTGAGCTATAAAGATACAATTTTAAAATACTGTGATGTCTCAGTGATGGTATATATAGCTTCAGCTGAAGGAAAGATATGTTTACTTAACAATTAGATGTTTCATTGCTATTGTGAGTCTATAAAATTAAAAGAAGAAAGAAAGCTTTGACATAAAATTTATGTTTAAGATTTTAGCCTACTTTAGCAAATTAAGGTTAATAATAAGTTCCTATCTGTCTGGTGGGAATACTTACATGAAGATTAATGACTAAACATTGCCAAAACCCTTTGAGAATTATTTGATGTGTTACATGCACAGAGGGCATTCTCATTTATTATTTGACTTAATAAATAACTTGGCAAAGAAGTCATATATTAAGTTCACATCAGTATTTCAGATTAGGAGATAATGTTAAGTATGGAGGAAATTGGAGCACTCCAACTTGGCAGCTTTCCAAATTTTCGAAGCCTGCCTAGGTTAGAATGTTTTATACCAATTATGAGTACAAGGAACCTAATGAAGAGAAGTTTAGGGAAGATGGATTGCTTGAGGCTCTGTTTGTCAAGTATGCATTTAAGGCAGGGATAAAGAGAAGGGAGAGAATGTGGAAACTTAGAAAAAGAGAACAATTGGTAAAGAAGTTTTGATCTTTTACATACAATATAGTTTCCGTTTAAAAATGCTGCAGTTGAAATATATCTTGGTCTGTTTGGGGAAAGCTTCTAATAGAGTTGCTTCTCCTTTCTGTCTTGAAGGAGTTCGAATGCTGGATGGAGATGTCACGGATATGGTTGAAGCAAAATCAGTGAGCTTCAATCCCCAGCATGTGCACATATACAGTGCAAGCTGGGGTCCAGATGATGATGGCAAGACTGTGGATGGACCAGCACCACTCACCCGGCAAGCCTTCGAAAATGGTGTTCGAATGGTAGGTTTTTTTTTCATTTTAATTTTATTGGAGTATTGTTTATTTACAATGCTATGTTAGTTCCAGGTGTCCAGCAAAGTGATTCAACTATACATGTACATATATTCATTCTCTTTTAGATGCTTTTCTCATATAAGTTTTTCCAGAATGCTGAGTAGAGTTCCCTGGTAACCATAAGTTTGTTTTCAGTATCTATAAGTCTGTTTCTGTTTTGTCAATAAGCTCATTTGTTTCATTTTTTAAAAAAATTAGATTCCACATATGAGTGAGATTATATGATATTTGCCTTTCTCTGACTTGTTTCATTTAGTATGATAATCTCCAGGTTTATCCCTGTTGTTGCAAATGGCATTATTTCACTTTTTCTGATGGTTCAGTAATATTCTATTATGTATATGTACCACATTTGCTTTATTCTTTCCTTTGTTGGTGGACATTTAGCTTGTTTCTGTGTCTTGGCTATTGTAAACAGTGCTGCAGTGAATACTGGGATGCACGTATCCTTTCAGATTATGTTTTTCTCCAGATGGTTTTTCCCAGGAGTGGGATTGCTGGATCATATGATAGTTCAGTATTTAGTTGTTTTGGGAACCTCCATGATCTTATCCACAGTGGTTGTGTCAATTTATATTCCCACCCACAGTGTTGGCGGGGGTGGGGTGGGGTGGGGGGGGCAGTATCTCTTTTCCATACCTGCTCCATAATTTATTGTTTGTAGACTTTTTAAAAAATTAATATATTTTTATTGAAGGATAATGACTTTACAGAATTTTGGTGTTTTCTGTCAAACCTCAACATGAATCAGCCATAGGTATACATATATCCCCTCCCTTTTGAAACTCCCTCCGATTTCCCTCCCCATCCCACCCTCTAGTTTGATACAGGGCCCCTGTTTTAGTTTCCTTGGCCATACAGCAAATTTCTGTTGGCTATCTAGTTTACATATAGTAATTTAAGTTTCCATATTGCTCTTTATATACGTTTCACCCTCTCCTCCCCTCTTCCCATATTCACAAGTCTATTCTCTATGCCTGTTTCTCCATTGCTACCCTGTAAGTAAATTCTTCAGTACCGTTTTTCTAGATTTTATGATATTTATCATTCTCTTTCTGACTTCACTCTGTATAATAGGTTCTAGGTTCATCCACCTCATTAGAACTGACTCAAAGGCATTCCTTTTTATGGCGAGTAATATTCCATTGTGTATATATACCACAACTTCTTTATCCATTCATTTGTCAATGGACATCTAGGTTGCTTCCATATTCTAGCTATTGTAAATAGTGCTGCAATGAACAATGGGATGCATGTATCTTTTTCAGTTTTGGTTCCCTCAGTGTATATGCCTAGGAGTGGAATTGCTGGGTCATATGGTGGTTTTATTCCTAGGAAAGGAAAGAAAGAAAGGAAAGAAAGAAGAGATATGCAAAGTTGATAGAGATAGATAAAGAAGATTTATATACATTAAAGATTAACTGCAAGGAGAAAAGAACAGTAGGAAAGGCAAACAAAGGAATAAATGTAGAAAAAATATGATAGGTTTAAAAAATTAAAAGTTAAAATTATAAAGAAGAGAAAAGAAAAAAAGGAAGAAAAAAAGGGGGGGAAAACTTCACAGTACTGCAAAAGCCCAATTTAGAAGCAGAGGTTTATGACAACAATAAAAAGTGTGACTGAATATACACATGTAGATATACACCCATAAACAAATCGAAACAGTCCAACAAAAATAAAGTATAATAGATTGACCCAGTGAACAAAGGAAACCAAAAATTGTATCTACCAGTTAAGAACAAAACCAACTAAAATACAAACTGGGAAGCAAAGCTAAAGCAAGGTGCCAATTGGGGAATAAAGCAATGAAAATAAAACTAACAAGTATGTTCAGAGGAAAGGAAGGAAAGAATAGATATGCAAAGTTAAACAGAGATAGATAAAGAATATTTATGTACATTAAAGATTAGCTGCAAGGGGTAAAGAACAGTAGGAAAAACAAATGAAGGAATAAATGTAGGGAAAAAATAATAGGTTTAAAAATATTAAAGTTAAATTAAAAAAAGAGAAAAGAAAAAAAGGGAAAACTCCACAGAACTGCAAAAGCCCAATGTAGAGGTAGAGGTTTATGATAATAATTAAAAATGTGACTGGGGAAGAAAAAAAAGCTCAAAAGCTTAATTAGATTTTATAATGCCATTAAAATTCACAACTACAACAGAAGGGGAAAAGAAAAGGAAAGAAAAAGAAAAAAGTATCTAAAAGAATCTACAGAACAAGTGAAACATAGGAATAATAAATGTTTTTCTTGAGTCACTGCTGTCAGAGTCTTTCTCTTGCTGGGAGTCACAGTCCACCTCACCTTCCTAGGATGCCCTCCACCACTGTGCTGGTCTCTGGCCCTGCTGTGGGGGCAGCTCAGATTCTAATCTGGTCCTACTCCTCTATGTTCTTGCCTCCGATGTCTACAGCTGTCAGAACTAGGGTATTTTCTTTTGTGGGAGCTCTCAATGTCCTTTTATATATTCCATAGACACAGAGTTCCTGCCCAGTTGATTGTGTGGATTTCATCTGCAGCTTGTACAGCTGGTGGGAAGGTTTGGGGTCTTCCTCCTTAGCCACACTGCCCCTGGGTTTCAGTTGCGGTTTTATTTGCACCTCTGAATGTGGGTTGTCCACTGGGGTTTCCTGCTGAGGCTGCCTTGGAGGACTTGGGTTTGCCTCTGTGAGGGCCAGGGGTGGAGGTGGTGCAGCTGCTTGGGTCTCAGGGGTTCTGGCAGCACCAGGTACTCGGGGAGGTTGGCGGCTAGGGCAGCAGGAAATACAGTGCTCTAGAAGGGTATGCATATTAAAAAGCAAAGACATTACTTTGCTGACAAAGGTCCATCTAGTCAAGGCTATGGTTTTTCCAGTGGTCATATATGGATGTGAGAGTTGGGCTATAAAGAAAGCTGAGTGCCGAAGAATTGATGCTTTTGAACTGTGGTGTTGGAGAAGATTCTTGAGAGTCCCTCGGACTGCAAGGAGATCCAACCAGTCCATCCTAAAGCAGATAAGTCCTGGGTGTTCATTGGAAGGACTGAGGTTGACGCTGAAACTCCAGTACTTTGGCCACCTGATGCAAAGAGCTGACTCATTTGAAAAGACCCTGATGCTGGGAAAGATTGAGGGTGGCAGGAGAAGGGGACGACAGGATGAGATGGTTGGATGGCATCACCGACTCAATGGACATCGGTTTGGGTGGACTCCGGGAGTTGGTGATGGACAGGGAGGCCTGGCATGCTGCGGTTCATATGGTTGCAAAGAGTCATACATGACTGAGCAACTGAACTGAGCTGAGAAGGGTACGGTGACCAGTATTGGCCAATACACTCCAGTATTCTTGCCTGAAGAACCCCCGTGACAGAGAAGACTGGCAGACCACAATCTGCTGCTGCTGCTAAGTCCTGTCAGTCATGTCCAACTCTGTGTGACCCCGTCTACGGGGATGCAAAATGTTGGACATGACTGAAGCTACCCTGCACGTGTAGATGCAAGATTTTTTTTTGCTGGTGGCAGCTCTGCCCCAGTGAGAGTTGAGCATGAAGGTGGCACAGCTGCTTGGCTTGCATGAACCCTGGCAATACAAAGTGTGCAGGGACACGGACTGCCTCCATGCCAGGAATTATGGCCCTATCTGAGTCTTTTATCGAGCTTCTTGTAGCTGGGGATCAGAAGGCCTCTTTGGCCAGTCTTCTCCGTAGCTCTGCCCGTTCAGGCACTTAGAGGGGGGCCCCCGTGGCTGGGGTCCTACTCTGTGGTTCGGTGCATCAGGCATTTTAAGGTGCACCCTGGGTGGGGTCCTATTCTGTAGTTTGGTGCATCAGTCACTTAAAGGAGTACCCTGGGTGAGATCCTACTCTAGTTCAGCGCATCATGCGTTTGATGGGCCAGCCTCTCAGTTGCTCAGCTGGGGATGCTGGTGAGCCGGGAGAGAGACTCCCGGTGATGGCCCCACCCCCTACACGTGACTCAGCAGTATCACCTTGCTTCCATGGCTGCCTGGCTTTCCTCCACAGGCATTTCGCACCACAGTCTCCTCCCTCACATCCCCTCAATCCGTCTCTCCAGTCAACAGCAGTCCTCGCCCTGGGATTACTCCACAATCCCTAAATTCCAGCTCCCAGCCGCTGTGCCTTCCAGAGACCCGCATCCCTGTCCAGGCTATGTTTGGCTGTGGCAGGGACTGTCTGATTATCATTCCATTCAGGCTGCCACAGATCAGCTGTTTCACTCTCAGCCTTAAATGTTTCTCCTCTGACTCAGACGGTTGCCCCGCTGTGGGGATCGGACCCCTGCTTCAGTTCCCCCACCCTCGAGGGGAGGTCCAGTCCTACTGATCCTCCTGTTTCTCCCCCTAGTTCCTTTGTCCTACCGAGTTCTGTGTGGTTCTATATATTCTTTTCCACTAGTCAGGTACTCCTGTCTGTTCTTAACTGGTATTCTGCATGCACTTGTGTCTGAAAGTGTATTCCTGATTTATCTGTGGAGAGAGATGTACTCCACGTCCACCTACTCCTCCGCCATCTTGTTCTCCTGTATGTAGACTTTTTAATGATGGCATTGTGACTGGTATGAGGCGATGCCTCGTTCTCTGACAGTTAGTGATGTTGAGCATCTTTTGATGTGCTTTTTGGCCATTTGTATGTCTTCTTTAGAGACATGTCTTTTTTAGATCTTCTGCTCATTTTTTTGATTGGGTTGTTTGGGTTTTTTTGACATAGAGCTGCATGAGCTCTTTGTGTATTTTAAAAGACCTCAGTTCAAACTGTGTTGCTTGGTGATCACAAAGCCTCCTCTGAAATGGGTTTCCAGTTCTCCCCACTAGAGGAATGGATGGAGCTCTAGGCTGAATCAGTAGACAGGATTGTGTGTCATGTCTGTCCTGCAAATAAGCTAAGGGTTAAAGAGTTGCCTCTGATAAGAACAGAGGTATATTTGGATGCTTAGATTTGTTCAAGGGATATTTTTTTTTATGTGTATTTTCATCTCCCTTTTTTTTTTTTTGTTTTTTTTGTTTTGTATGACTCGGTGACCCCATGGATTGCAGCACACCAGGCTTCCTCGTCCTTGATCTCCTGCAGTTTGCTTGGGTTAACGTCC